AAAAAAATGAGTAGCAATAAAATTTCTGTTCAGTCCACTGAAATTTTCAAGCACTGAAGGGAAATAATTGCCAACCATGAATGTTATATCTGGCAAAAGTATCTTCAGTAATTAAGGAGAAATGACACCCTCATATAAAATGAGACAAAGAATTTGTCACTACAAAACATATTCTGAAAGAATAACTAAATCAGTTTTTCTAAACATAAAAGGAAATAACAAAAGACACCCCGTCAGAAAGAAAAGAATAGGGGTCAAGGATGTAGCTCAGTGGTGCCACACCTGCCTGGCAAGCGAAAAGTCCTGAGTTCAATCTCTGGTACTGAAAAAATAAAAGAAAATAAAAGAAAGGAAAGAATAAAAGCAGAAGATGTAAAAACAGTAATAAGTATAATAGATGATTCTTGTCCTCATGCATTTGTTTAATCATATTTGTGGACTGAAGGAAAAAATACAGCCGTATTGTTGAGATGCTTATGTAAGGAAATACATGACACCACTAAAATTTTTTAATGAACAGGATAAAAGGAGCTAAATGGAAGGAAGCTTTCAATACTCCATATAATGTGGTAAAATATTGATAATAGTAGGCTATAAGTTATGAGTTATAAGTTATAAGTCATTCTTTAATTCTTAGAAAAACCACTAAAAATTTATACAAAATGATACACAGCAGGACACTATGAATTTAAAAAGAAGAATCATTAAAATGTTTCTGTAATACACAGGAACACAAGAAATAAGACAGGACAATGAGTCAGAGAGGAAATAACAGAAAACAAATAAGAAAATGACATACTTAATCTTAATATGTCAATAGTAACATTAAATACAAATGGTTTATATATGCCAATTAAAAGACATATGGATAGAGTGGGTTAAAAACATAACTCAATATATATTGTCTATGAAAACTTACTTCCAATATAATGATATAGCCAGATTGAAAGCATGCACATGTAAAAATTGTACCACAAAAACATTAAACCACAAAAGACCAATACAATAACAGTATCAGCAATGGAATAATAATATCAATCAGATAATGTAGTTATTAGAGGAAAAAATTTATCAATGACAGAGAGGTACATTTGACAGAAGGGTCAATCAAATAAGAACAGAAATATCTATGAACCAAAAAAAGCTGCAAAGTAAGTGAAGTAAAAACTGATAGAAATGAAAAGAGAAATAGAAAAATCCACAATTGGACATTTCAGGACTGTGTTCTCAAAAATTGATGGAAGAACTACTAGACAGAAAATCAACAAGGATTTAGGAGAACTCAACAATATCATAAACCAACAGGATAAAACTGACAATTCAGCCAAGAACAGCAAAATATACGGGGTGACTGAAAACTACCATGAATGTTTAAATTAAAAGTATATATATTACAGTAAAAGACATTGCCATTAATGCTCCCATGCTTTGAGCACATTTTTCTCAACATTCTTGCCACTTACTGAAAGTTCTGAAAGTCCTATTTCATGAGTGTCTTTATGAGGTGTGACAAAAAAATACAGTGAATGGTGATGCCAAGTGCCATCCAATAGAAAGGTAGGCTTCTAGAAACATTAGGGTATGTCCTCCTTCACATTATTCACTTCCTCTGGCACCATGCAACTTCTAGCTCTTCCCCAAAGTCAAAATGACCATGAAAAGTAAGTGTTTTGAATCAATTCAGGACATCAAGGTAGCCATGATAAGACAACTAAACACATTCACAAAAGAGAACTTTCAGAACTCTTTCAAAAAGTGGCAAGAATAATGTGATAAGTGTGTCTGAAGTGAGGTGGAGTATTTTGAAGGAAATCAATGACAGTGTTTTTTACCATAATAATTTTTTATTTAAATACACAACATAGTCTTTGATCACACCTTTTATTTTAGAGGGAATGCTAAAAATATGTTTCTGTAATAGGCATTTTTTACTATATAGCTATGAGATAATAATAAATGTTTTAATTTCAAGATAAAATGAGAATTTTATCATTATTCAGTCTTCAGAAATGAGCTCACTTTATGAAAATAATGTTAGCACAATACTTTGGTTTGTTCAATATCACAGTTAAATTTCTCTTCAGTTAAACTTCTTAAATTTCCTACATTCATTTTTCAGTTAAATAATGTTCCACTTTGTCTATATTTTTTAAGCAAAAAATTATGTGTATGAAATTGCATTCAATTGGGTGGAATGATATGGACTGTCTTTTAAGTGGAGTTAATTTTTAAAAATTCTTTAAAAACTGAAGGATTATGTAATCATAAACATTAATGAGTTGACTGAATTGTAATTTTCAAATTCTTTACTAACTTTAAGACCACAAAACTAAGTCATATAATAAATAATCTTTGAATGACTGAATAGCACCCTAAAAATAAAAGATAACCAGTAGGTTACTAAACATAATTTTAACTTTATATTTCTATAGATTAACAAATTTTGAAAATGCTTTTGTAGTATTATACATATGTTATTGAGGCCCCAGCTGGGAGTCTTGATCTCCTACAAGGAAATATAACATAAGCCAAAAGAAAAGACTCAGAAACAAGACTTAAACAGAAAGAGGGGAACTGGGATGGGCCATGCCAAACATCTGGCAAGGACACTGAGCATGTGGTTAGGACCCACCAGGACCGTCAGTATATACTGATTCGATAGGCATGGGTATGAATAGGGTAGGAGGCTATGCATGGCATCCAGTGATATCAGCTGATACAAGCAAGGCTTGTAGAGGGGAAGGCAATTCATCCTTGCAGAAGGAGCAGAACTGACCAAAGGTTGGTCATGGTAAGCTACTGAAACAATTAAGAGAAGAGTAGCTCCATGAATGGAATGTGGTCTGGAGCCAAAAGTCCTCAGTCACAGTTTTCTCACTTAGGAGCCGTGCACCTTCACAGATGAGGACTTAGATCTCCACCACAGCCATTGGTGTAGAACTTATACTAGCCTTCAGCACCATCCAACATGCTCCTGTGAGTCACCAAAGTTTTGGTCTAGCTCTGAGTATATTGTAGCCAATTATGGGAGTAAAATGCCTGCTCCATATTCCAGCCTGCTCTAAGCCTGGCCAGGGAGGTCTACCACAATATATGCTTACTTAACTATCTACAATAACGTGATAAAACTACTTATACTTCAGACTGACAGAGTGGGGTTCAAATCTTGATCTCTTTCACTTGTTGCTGCCTGACCTTGAACAAGTAAATTCACCTTCCATATCCAGTTTTCTTATCTCTAAAGTAAGGACTATTAGCAGTAGCTATCTCATAGCTAAGATTATATTATTTTAATATTATTGCAGATAGGTAGGTAAGTTAATTAGATATCTTGTAGGCAGTTAGACAGTGCCAGCCCATGAGGAGCCAACACGGAGAACAGTTGAGGAGCCAACATGGAGGACAATCAAAACAGATTCACTGAAGGCCAGCATTGTAAAAGGAGAGAAACTACCACACCCACATAGAATAAATAGCAATGATTGATATTCTAAATAGGTATCAATCACCTGAGTGGGAGACCAAGATCTTCCAAGAAAGATCCCTGACCCACCCCTTACCACTGAAAATCCCTGCTCATTCCTTGTACGCTTGCTATATGACTTGCTTCCCCATTAGATACCCATTTAATCAATATTACTTAAGCAACTATACTTGTCATAATCTTATTGGTTGTTCATAGTTTTGTCCACCTTGTGATTTCTCATTGGATCAATATTACTGAAGCAACTGTGCTTTAGTCTTACTAGTTGACTACAGTTTTGTCCCACCTTGAATCTGCCTCACCTCATGGCTTTGTCCCATAAAACACCTTTGAGAAGTTGAGTGAGCAGGCAACCCACTTTTCGGTCCCCCTTCTGTCTCTCTTAGACAGAAGGTATCTTTCTCTCAATAAATTTTCCTACTCTTAACCTCTGTTGTTCCTAGAACTTATTCTTCGATTTTACAGAACACAAACTCAGGTTTCAGATATCTAATTTGTTTGGCAGTTACCTCTCTTCCCCTACATCAATATGAAGAGAACAAAAGCACCAGAAAGAGTGCCTGTCACATAGTGCTCCATAAAGCAGTAGCTTTCAATATCATTGTTTGAATCTACCCTAGAATGTAAGTTTCACAGGGAAAGGAATCATCATTATATTTGTCCTCTTATGTAATTGTAATACCCAGCATTGTGACCAGCATGTGGCACATGCTCAAGAAATATCTGTTGAGTGAGTGGATGCATTAATGAATCTATAAAATAATTGTTATTATTAACATCCTTCTTCTCTCTGAATTGTCTACTGTCTGTTAACATAGTGCTTTATTTCCAACAAAAATTCTTTAAATTCTGTCAGAGGCTGATCAGTCTTCTGATCTCCCTAGAATGGAGGGTGGTGAGGGCTAAAGAAAGAAAGACAATAGAGACATAATTTTTAAGTACATGGGGGTCTGGGAGGTCAGTGCCAGAGTGGGCAAAGACAAAAGACACAGCTAGCCATTATTTATTGGGTACACACAATAATTGGAGAGAGTATCAGGTGACTCAGAGGGTGGCAGTAATCTTAATCATCTACTAATGAAGATCTGATGTTGATTAGGACAGTGAGAAGGGCAAAGCATACTTACAATAGTGGGTGGGAGGAAATAGCAGACTAATAATGAATTTGTCCTTCCCCCAGGTGAAACCTCTTTTTTTATTACTACTCAGTTCTCCAAGAACCAGGATGTCTTCAGCTGATGGAAGCATGCCCTTGAACATCACAGCGTCATGGGACCACTGAGGTCTTGACTTGTTCGGAGTTATGTTTCCACATACCATAGCCAGCTGGTGAGCAAGGGGATATTAGGCCTTAGACAGTCCTATGCATAATTTAATTATGAAATGATTTTCCCCCAAATTATGTAGAATGGCTCTCAACAAAGTTCATCATCATCGAACAACCACCATCCCATGACCTTTTTTGAATTCACTTCTCTTTTAAATTTGAGTCCATTGGCAACCACTTGGACCAGCGATGGCTGACCTGAAAAAGTGGGAGGCAGGAGTGGAAGAATGGCAGCATGACCTGACTACTATGTTGCAGAGCCTGAATGCACCTGGGTAAGCTTCAACAAGGCTCAGTGCTCCTAGTTTGTGTTCATTGTTGGCAACTGCCTTTATAACAAGATCACACTTTTATAGCTGTTAATTTTGATCCGCTGAGTTCTTGGGTCTAGGCCTTTGGCTTTGTGCTGAGGTGCCAAAACATTTAACTGTTCTCTCTCAGACAGATCACTTCCTGCTCCTGTTTACTGGAGCTGTGTCTCTGGTAAGCCAGCATACATGCAGTTGCAGCAGAGACTACTGCAGGTGGTAGCGAGCCTGGGGTGACATGCAGGTAGCTAACACTTCCATATGCCCTCTTCACCTCCAAGTAGTATTTAGTGACCCCCAGGGTCTTAAGGTTCCAATTGACCAGTGCTCAAATTGCTCTAGATGTGAATGATATCAAGGTTCTCATTGAGGTGCAGTCACTACAATTGCTAACGCTCAGATCCACAACCCAATAGAAGACAGATGGATTGCTTTGGTGCCTTTCATGGTAATGAAAAGCCAAACTGAAGGTTCTGTCCAGCAGTCAGAAATGCTAGAGTTTCTCAGAAAATACTCAGATCAGTTCCCAGAGATACTCAGACAAGCCTCGGCTCACCTGGATGAGGTCATTAGGTTGAACTTGAGGGTTCTTGATCCCCAGGCCAATAAATTAATCAACAAACAGGGTCCCCAGACTACTGATAGACTAGAGACCTCAGACATGACAAAGGCAGGTCTCCTGGCATTGGTCCTAGGCCACATCCTTCTGAATGCCAACTGGGGAAAACAGGCCTCCATTTGGGACCTGCTGCTAAAGGTTAATGTGTTGGATGTACTTCAGAGGATCAACAACCTCTTTGGGAACACAAGAATCCTCCTCACTATTGACTTTGTGCATATGCAGTTCTTGGCTCCAAGCATGAATCCCCTTGAATTTGAGTTCTTGTGGGGCTATGGAGCCCATAGAGAAATCCCAAAGATGGAAGCACTGAACTTTGTGGTGGAGCCTCATGATGAAGAACCCTAGAGTTGGCCAGAAGAGTTTGGCAAGGATCAGGAAGCTGGCAAAGCCAAAGAAAGAAGCCAAGCTGCTGGCTTGTAGTTCTGATGAGAGGACAATATGAATGATTTGGTCCAGTTGGCCATTGATGTCACTAAAGAGTTACTACTTATACATCAGGATGAGCTATTGGCTCACATTGGTAAAGAATTCAAGGATGTGTTCTCAAATATACTCAGCTGAGCTTCTCTAATTCCTGATCTTTTCTCTGGATTCTCTCTGATTGAGGTAGACACAAGTGAGCCTCTACTTCCTTGTCCAACAAACAGAATCAGAAGAAGAGCAAGTAAAGCTAGAGAGCCTGGGGAGACCCACTCAAAAGTATGTGATGCTAATTCTGGGTTTGAGTTTCCTGATGGCCATCCATGTCAAAGAGGCCAATGTCTGGAATTTGCCTCAGAGATTTAGTATGGTTGTAGGGAGAAAGTGTGCCATCACCTGTAAGCTTATGAAACATTGAAACCTGGAATGCAGACTGCTGTTTTACTCTAATCTAGTTGAATATGAGCTTCTGTGGGGTCTTCAAGGTCACATTGAAACCACCACAATGAAAGCCTTGGATTACACGGCCAGGCTTCACAGAAAGTGATTACAAGACTGGCCAGAGCAATATAAGGAGCCTGTGGAAGGTGAGGAGGTCAGAGCCAAATGTGAGGCAACTGCTATGTTTTTATTTGGCTCAAGGTGAAGTCTGGGAAAGAGTATCACTTCAGTTGAGTGGTATCTGTTAAATGGATCTTGGGGAAATGAGCACTGGGGCCCCAAATCACAAGTTGTGGAGCACTGGAAGTAGGAAGTACATATTATGCTTACTATCTGTGTTCCAGTTCTAATAGTATTTCCTTCCTTTTAATACACCCTTAAATTAATTTCATGATCAGTGTTTATAAAGTGCTTATTTGCCCTCCTTGTTTCAGTATAAAAGTTCAGATAGCTATGTAAAATCCATTGGTAATAAATATGTCTTTGAAATAATCAGTAAAATGTTTAGATGCCAAAGTTAAATTACAACAAAATACAAAAATACACAACAGAAATAAACACAAAACCACCAATCTGTGATTGCCTTCCTTTTGTGTCTACTTTTGTGTTTAAAAGACTGCTATTTGCAGTGCTGTTCCAGAGTGTAGTGAAAGATTCTATAAGAATGTATTAAGTACCTGCACAATCTGAACAAAAGGTTATGTGCTGGAACTATAAGAGTAAAGAAGACCTAGCTCAGCCCCAGAGTTTAAGGGAGAAGAGTGATGGAAATAACCCAGCAATTATATTATGCTATGGCAAGGAATATAACTGGGGGTAAGAAAATCAGGTAGGGTTGTGCTATGGGAATCCACAGGAATAACTCCCAATTTTAAGAGATAGGGGAGACAGTGGAGAATGTAGTGGGGTCCAAGAAGTGGTGGAAAAGGTTCAGGAGTGTGAATAAGGGGATGAGAAGGGGAATGGTCAGGGAAAGTGGTGGGAAGGATGGAGGGCTGGAACAAGATGTGCTTTAATGAGATTTTATTGTGAGACTTGAAATTGGGGAGAGGGAGAGGAAGGAATGTTGGTGAAGGTAGGGGCAATGTGTAAAATCCTTTTGGGAGATTAGAAGTAGACAATGTTAAGTTCAGGAAGGGGGAGGGTGGTAGAGTTAACAAGGACCCACATCCTCAGAGAATGCTCTTATGGCTTTCCTGAAGGCAGCTGGTCTTGGATCTTGTGTCAAATGGAACAATCAACCTGAAGAAACTTTGTACAGGATACTCCACTGGTGCTCTTTATTTCAGCATCCAAGCTGTTAAGATGAGTGTTAGCACTTCGGCTGTCTTCATCCAGATTCCTTTGAAAGCTTCTAACCCAGCTTGCAGTTCTCCCTAAATGTTGCTTAGAAAACCAGAAGGTAATAATTTCTGAGAGGCATACCTGGCACTGGGGTGGGTATCATATGGAAAGTCACCATTAAATGGGGTAGGGAGAGTGCAGATTTATTTCCTAATCCCTTTTATCTACAAGCTTTCTGATGTTTTACATCCTTTGAATTACCAGAGACTACCCTCAGCTGTCGCCTCCTTATAGGAGAGAGTTGGAAGTCATTCCTCATATTTTTTAAGATAAAGAAGATGGTTTATTTTGGGGGAAAGATAGCAAAGAAAGAGGATAGATAGTTACTCTGAGGTGATAGAGGGTATCCTCATGTTTTTCAGCCTCCAGAAGAGAACAACTTCTAGCTAAGGGGGTGGAAAGGGAGAGGAAAGATATGCACTTTTGGCCTCCATGTCTGACCTGCTGTGATACAGAAGCCTAATTAGAGCAGCTTGTGAGTACCACTGTGCAGGGTACTTCACTGTTGCCAGGGGGATACAACCTCCACCACATCTCAATGATCTCCTGCATTCTAAGAACAGGCAAAGGGCAGGATTTTGGGTGATGAGAAAATTAATAACCGGAAAGTCTGAGCTGAAGGAGTTCTGGAAAATAGAATGGGGGTGAAGTTATGAGGTGAGAGAGCATCCAGCTCAAAATCTGGGGTCTTCAAGTGAGTTCTTACCTGCACACTAAACTGCAAAGCTTTCATTTTTCAGTGTCCTTGGACTCTAAATCTATACATACTTGTGGAGTAGGAGAAAGGAAGGAGGCAAGCAAATGAAGGTATCCAGTTTTTCTTGCTCTAATTTTTTGCATTGCTACAGTTTCTTGGTCCTCAAGCACATCAGCTCTTCTGGAGACTCCAGTAGAGAGAAACCTCCCAAGGACAAGGTATAGCACTATCAATGTAAAGCTGCCAATTATTGTAGTACTAAATAAGTATGTGCCAAGTACTGTGTTGGGTTTTTCACATGCTTAGTTCTTATCTTTCCACCAATATTGTCAAGAAGCATTTTAATATTTCCATTTGATACTATAGTAAACTGAGTCTTAACTAACATTTCCAAGGGCACAGAGCCAGTCAATGACAGCTGAGCTTGAAGTCCAAACAGCCCCCCTCCTGACCTGTGCTATGTTCCAACTCAAATTTGCTGACTTTCTGAAGATACAATGCATGGCCAAGGTAGAGCAGCAGGTTGATAACCCTCAGAAGGAGAATGAAAGTGAAGTTGAAATCTCTCCAGGCACTTTTTGATCCATCACTGGAGCCCCATGACAGCTGTGTAAATGTAGAGTATGCATTTCTGTCCTTTCTCCCTACTCTGTCCTTTTTATTCTTCTCTAGTTTGCTGCTCTGTAAACCACCAGCCTTGTCTGCTGGCTTTCATCCAAAGAATAGTCAAACCTCATCATTTCAGGCTTCCAAAAGATTTTAGTGATGTTATTTGAAATGCTGAAATAATAGTTACCTGACAGAATTCCTAACTTGTCTAGAGCTGCTCAGAATGCCTAACAGAAGTAGGAAATAGGCCAGTGTCACAAATGTCATATGCAGTTTTCCAGCAATGACAAGTGTGACTTGTGGGGCACACGTCTATGGTGAAGAAAAGGGTAACAATCTCTCTATGACCACCGCCATTCCTTTGAAGGCCAAAGGATAACCAGGTATTCTCTGTCCTTCAAGCATTAACTTTGTATTAACATTTACTAGGAGAAATAAGTGGGGGTGGGAATGGATTCTGGAAAACACGACATACACGGGGCACAGCATGAATTACTCCACTGTAAATCACTGTTAAGACTCTAGAGCAACAGACCAAATGTCATTTTTCAGTTACATGATTTTATTTGAAAAATGGAAATGGCTGAGTTCAATTACAAGTTCTGTGGGCCATAAATACCCAGTTTTGATGAAGTAGGGCTTGCAGAAGTGATATTGATTACATATGGGCTCTTCATCCTCTATATACAAAGCCAACCATAGTCCACATTGACCTATGATCAAGATCTTTCCAGGGCAGATAACTTTGAGAATATATTCACTTTCAGTAGATGAAACCCAGGTATTTACTCTTCTGGAGATTATGGGTGGTTAGGGAAGCCTTTTCCTGCTCTTTCTCTCCATCACCTTCTGTGTACGCATATATTCTATACACAAATAAACATATGATCCAAGGAATAGCTGAGCTCTACTGGCACAAATGCAATTCCAACTTTAGTAACTACTGGCAATTTCAACTTTAAGAATTACTATCCCTAAATCCTCTTATATTGATGATCTATACCATCCCGCAAATACTTTTCAGGTTCAAAGAAGGACACCATAGTTTCCTTCTCCCTACCTACAAGGAATTTCCCAAAAGTGAGCTTTTTCACTGAAAACAGTTTCTCTTCTCCCATAACAGATAATTAGAAATATTTTAAAATTATTCACAGGCAGTATTTCAGGCTATTTGTAAAGTAGTTTAAAAGGAAAAGGGAACTGCAAGACTATTTTGTTCTAGACACTGTAGTGATAAATCAAGCATCTCATAAGGAGGGGGACAATGTGTTAGAATGATTAGGAACTCTGGATCTATACAGGAATGATTCTGTCACTTACCAGACCTTAGACAGGTTACTCAAAATCCTTTTCCAGACCACTTAAAGCTATTGTGACGAAGTTAATAGAAAAACTCAGGGCCATAGATAAGCTATTTGATGATGTCAGAACTGTAACCAAGGCCAGTTGTATCCTAGTATAGGATGCCAAACTTTTGCTTTTAAGATTACTACTTGTCAACACCTTGGTAGCTGAGTTTGAATGAATATTGGGTTCATAGAATTGCTAGTCTTCACTTTCTTTAGTACATATTTTAGGTAAATATTAACCCCAGTGGCTATGATATAGTGAGATTTAGCTACATTATTAGTGTATTCTTTGCAGACATTCAACCGCAAGACACTTGGAGGAGGGTCATGAATAGTCTCCTTAAGCAGACCTCAGTGTCCTAAAAAAACCCACCTGCTTTACTTACTCTTCATGGATTCCCAGTCAGAAAGGATGACTTCCCTCCTAAGAGTGCAAGGTTAAGAAGAGAGTTTGGAGTTGGAGACTAATGTCTGAGAAGTCTGCTTCAAATTACCCTCTTGAGAGTACTTGGTTTGTCATGAGTTCATCAGGATAGAGTTTCTGTCCTCTGAGTATACACTTCATAAATACAGAAGTCAAAGAGGATAAAGAAAGAGAGGACACAAGAATGACCATGATTTCAAAAGTTGCCTTCTGTTATGAAGCTTTGAACACAGGGTAAAGAAGCTTTCCTACGTGTGTGGACAGCAGGCAACATGCTACCATGTGAAGGCATCAGCCTAGATTGTTCTTATTTTGCAAAACAAAGAGAGCTGTAATCCTGGGTTAAGGTATTCATCTTTGTACCCAGTGAGGGAGACCACCTTGAGGTCCAGTTGTTGGAGCTGGGTGGGAAGAACAGGATCTACACAGCACTGCTCCCCTTTTTCTGGATTGGGTTTAGGGTTGCAAAGCCTAGGAAGAGAAAGGAAGAAGAGGGGGCTTTGGTATGGGTATTAACATCAACCATTTACTTAATGTTTCCTCACATCATAATGGCCACTGACATCCTCATAGTTCCTGACAGGTGAAAACTGCAAAACTTTTGGCACCTAACACCATCCAAAAACCTGCACTGAGAGACTTAACCAAACTCCAGCATGGCTTCTAGCTACTTAAATTCACAGCCTTAGGTTTAACCCCAGACTTCCATTAAAATAACTGCTTAAGTGCAATGCTGTCAAGAAGATTTACTGTTTGTTTTAGCCAATACCTGATGATAGGATGCAGACCTCCCTTTTTAAAAGCATTTACTAAAATGGGCTTACTAAATGTGAATATTATTCTCTTACAACACAGAAATGTTTCTTCTCT